GAAATAATTTGAAAATCAATTATTAAAAAGATATATTAATATATTATATCTAATTTAAATTAGGCGAACAACAAAGCTGTCAAGTTTTCCGCTCGGCGAGCGACAAAGCTGTCACTTAATGTCAGTTCGCGGAAAACGTCAACTTTGCGGTTGTATTTCGACGCGCAAATGCCTACTTTAGATAGTGATCGTAAAAAATGGTTTTTTAAATAATTTTCAAAATCCTTGGTAAAATTTAATAATTTTTAATAATGAATACTAGATAAGTCGTAAAATGGAGTATTTTAAACACATTTGGCTTATTTAGTTTGCCAGCTTAAACACAATAATGCTAATATTTTTTACACCCTGTATGATAAAAACACAATAATAATAATGCACCTGACAATAGAGAAAACTTATAAAAACGATAAACTTTCATTGTCGCGAAATAAGGAATAATGTTGTGATATTGCGGAAGGTCCAACAATCTTCAACTCTTAGAGCTAGGGAATGCATGCAATTGGGAGGTGCTCATATTGAACCGACAGTCAAAAATAAAAACGGTCAAAAAACCATAGCAACAAAAATGATTTTTTTATAAAAAAAAAAAAATTTATACGGAAACAAACCATTTTATCGATATTGAACAAGAGCACCTTTTTTTAGTTTAAGGTTTAAGTTGTCTAAAAATATTATTGTGTCTTTATCATAAAAAAATATTAGCATTATTTTGTTAAAGCTGACAGACTAGCAAACTAAACAAGCCAAATATGTTCTTAAAATGGTCCATTTTACGGAGACTTATATATTATCCATATTATTTCAAATTTATTAAATTATACAAATTAATAAAAAAAATTCAGTAGTGTCCATTATGGGACCATATCTCCAAAAAGGAGGGTCATGGGAAAAATATGTATAGGAACTTGTCATGTTATTTTTATATTTATATCTGAATCCGGGAGGTTGCTCACATATTCTGGGATACTTGGACACAGTGTATAAGGGGGCGAAGCCAATTTAAAAAAAAAATCTAGGGGTTGAAATTTAAAAAAAATCTTAAAACAGAAATCTATATCAACATAAAATTTTTAGTAAAGTTCAAGCTCTATATGGCGATGAAGCCTATTGATTTGGAAAATATCTGAATAAAAATGGGGGGGGGGGGGGGTTAAGGGGGTTAAAATATTAAAAAAATCCTAATTCAATCACGAAAAAAGTCAAGATCTATTGATTTTTAAAAATCTGAATTAAATGGGAGGTTAAGGGAGGGTTGAAATTTAAGAAAAAAAAAAAAAATAAAAAACCAAAAAACAAAAACGATATAAACGTGAATCTTTTAGGATAAATCAAGCTCTATAAGGGAATGTAGAATTAATTCTGAAATAATCTGATTAAGGGGGGTCTGTTAAACTGAGAAGAGTACAATAAAGAATGCCAAGCATTATATATCTTTAATCTAGTTTAGTAGTTTGTGTAAAATTTTCCAATATTTTTTAAAAAGGATTTTTGTTTGGGGGGTTTTCATAATGATGAAGGCGGAACACAAAAAAACAAAAAAAAGCAGATTTCACAAGTTTTTTGTTATTTTTATTAATGAAAACGAAAGGTACATACTACATAAATTTATTTGACCTGGAAAAATAAAATTTAAAGGAAACAACATTCAAGCTATATTGCCAACAAAAAATGCCTATTAAGCCAAACTAAGTTTTAATTTTCTAGGCTTTTCGGCGAACTTATTTTAAATATTCTCCACAGACGGAGTCATATTTTTATAAATATGCAAAAGAGTCGGGCCATTTATAGTGGAGTAAACTCGCAATGGAATTATGAGTTTTAGTGATTCAGAGGTATAAAAACCTATACCATCTTGTAGAAAACAGCCTGGGGCATTGGAAATGGAAATGTATAACTTTTTTTAATAAGACCTAACTTTGTAAATGGCTCTTAAACGTGACTGATTTCGAATTAGAAAAACTAAATTTCCCTTAACATTAACCGTTGTATTAATTTAAGTATACGATCTAAAATTCTAATTTTTTGCAGACTTTTACTAGAAATGTGAGCAACTAATGGCAATTCAGGAATTTCAAAAATGTTTAAAGTTTTTTTTAAAAGTTAGGAAAATTAAATTATCAAAATTGCGCATCCAAAACTTCACCCTGCGGCTAGCTATGTGAATTATTGAAAATTTTTGTAAATATATATCGAGACAAATGTTGTCAGAACATTAATAAAGTTTAAAAAAAAATAGATCGCTAACTTTAAGGTGATTACAGCACCCCCCTTATAATTTTCGAACAAGGATATCTCAAAAAGTAATTTTTTTAGAAAATATAAATTTGGGAAAAATAAATTAGGCAATAATATCTAAAATATGCATATTTTTTAAAGTTTTAATTCCTTTCAGTTTCCGAGAAAAAAATCAAAAGGCTTTAAATTTTGAAATATCATAATGAAAATAAATGCGTTCCTCAACAGCAGTATTCTTAATATAATCTCCAAATTTAAGCTCTTAATCTTTTGTTAATGATTTTTTAAAATTCGCCGAAATTAGTGGATAAAACGCCTCGTTAAGTGCTTCTTTCTAGTGTAACGCGTCTGTAAGTATCGTATCGTACACTCTGAGTCATCATTCGTTTCTTGCAACGATTTACAACAGTTTACACCAGTTTAAACCAGACAATGGGTCCTATGATTGAACGTTTACGTTATCCGTAACGTACATGTTAGGCCGAGTTTTAACAGTAATGAGGCAAGTTCGTATAATGGAAAACTTTTTCCAACACGTTACTGTTATTTTCCGCCTGTTATCTTCTAATTTAACAGTTTTCCATCATCCGAACTTGCCTCGTTACTTTTAACGTAAACGTTCAATCATAGCACCCAATAGCACTTAATAAGGCGTTTTAGCTACTAATTTTGGCGAATTTTAAAAAATCATTAACAAAAGATTAAGAGCTTAAATTTAGGGATTATATTAAGAATTGTGCTATTGAGAAATGCATTTATTTTCATTGTCATATTTCAAAATTTAAAGCCCTTTGATTTTTTTTCTCAGAAACTGGAAGGAATTAAAACCTTAAAATATATGCATATTCTAGATACTATTGCCTAATATATTTTGCCAAAATTTTAATTTTTTAAAAAAATTACTTTTTGGGATATCCTTGTCCGAAAATTATAAGGGGGTGCTGTAATCACCTTAACGGTTATAGAAATATGCATTTTTCTCTAATAGTGTTGCCAACCCTACCGATTTTTCTGTAAATCTACCGATTTAGGAATTCATCTACCGAATTACGAGACCTTATCTACCAGGATTTGATTTTTGTTAATTAGTTACACTATTTTATTTTTTCTATAATACATTTGTAATAAATGTCTTTTGTTTATTAACAACTGATACTCAAATAGGTATGCAACACTTTTAACAGAAATCTCATAAGCATTCACATAATAGTATATTATGCAACGATCATGTAATGATGGTTATTAATACACGAGCATTAACCGGGATACGAAACGAGCCAAAGGCGAGTTTCGTATGGTTTATGCGAGTGTTTTAATAACCATTACATGAGAGTTGCATACGCTATTTTTTCTACACCCGATAAATAATCAAGACCTATAAATATTATATTTATATTGGTATTGAACACAATAACAGTAATTACTCGTATTTCTATAAAAAATTCTACAAAATTGTAATTAATGGTATTACTTCAGGTATTGGTATTTTCCTAGATTTTTGCGGTAAAATATTTTGTACTGTATTTTCTGCTTTCTCCGATATGTGTGGAGGAGTCTTCTATATCGCTAATATCAGACATTTTAATATTATAATTATCGAAGTTTAGCTACCTACGAAAATTTAATACGTTTTGACAACTAAAATAATTACATAGGAACCTAGGACAAACGTCAAACAGCATGCTTGATTGAAAAATTGTAGGTTTCTATTGATTAAAAATCTGTATCGTAATGAAAAATCTGTATCATAATGGGTATCATTATGAAACGGATTATGGGCATATAAGTGCATTATTATAATACGGGTGTAGAAAAACTTTGTTTTCGTTCACTTTCGTAACTGTTCCAGAACCTTTGGAGCTGTTTTGGTTTCGCCAAAACTAGTTCAGGATTACAAACAGCAAGAGACAAGTATTTCCCCTCGTAAGAGTACTTGCAGTGTTTTTGAAATATGAAACTAAAGTATACCGGGTGTTCAACTTAAAGCGTTACAGCTATATACCGCTTTTTATAAAAAAAAAACGTTTCAGACGAAAGTTTTATAGTTTTGTGGGGAAAAACTTTTGGCTAAAATCGTTTTTTATAGCTAACCATAATATGGCCAACTTTTTTTCGCGCAGCAACATTTTCAAGTAGCTGTTACTCAAAAAGTAAAAATCCAATAAAAAAAATATTTCCCTCAAAAGTTTCTTATTTTTTTATGTACTTTAAGAATATGTAAGAAAAAATGGGATTCCCATTTAAAAAACAAAGTCCACCTCGATATGGCCATATTATGGCCAACTACAAAAAAATGAATTTAGCCAAAATATTTCCCCCAAAAAACTATAAAACTTTTGTCTGAAACTTTTTTTTCTAAAATGCATATTTTCGGCGGTATTTGACTGTAACACTTTAAAATGAACACCCGGTATAGGCAAAGCAACGGGGGATTGGAACGCAAGGGTAGAAAAGCACATAAAAGTACGGTAAACGTACGGTATTTTCAACAGAATTAGCAAAGACTTTGAGTTGTGCAAGGACCGACTCCATTAAATAACTTAATGAAGATTAAAATGACATTGCCCAATGTAAAAATGCCATTTTAACCTTTTTACAGCACATGTTTTTCACAAAAATATAAGTTAGGCAGAAGGAATTAAAATAATATGAAGAGGACCTTTTTTTTTAGTTACCCGACAAAGAGATTTACACAAATATAGTTTGTTACAAAATAAAAGTGTACGGTACTGGGAGGTACGGTAGTTTGAATTGCGCGGTATCGTAAATGGAATTTGAAAAGTTGGCTACCCTGCAACGCTGTCTGTGTTTGACTTTGACATTACATTTTTTACATTCCTTATGGAAGAGTCATCAGTCGAGACGTAATATTTTTAATATTTTAGGAGTACCTGCATAATTAAGAATTTTACGAAAAATCATGCAGAATTATTCGACTCCAAGTAAGATTAAAGCTTTTTCACAATTGCTTTTGCAAAATTATTTTCTTTTTAGATTATCTCCACGAAATCGGAAATCAGCCTGCCATGTCGTCTGGATCCAATAATAAATTCGTTTATTTTAAGCAAAATTTCGTTTCGAATGTACAGAGTGCTTCATCTAAAGTTTTGGTAAATCCACATTTCAACAAAAAAGTGTTCCTTAATCCTAATTATATCCCAAGCAATCCGCCTACCTTTTCAGGAAACATTCATGTCAATCCAAATATAGCCTTTAGCTTACCTCGAGAAAATAGTAAAATACATATTAATCCTAAAATATTGCAAAAAGTTCCAAGTTCACAAGATTACAAAAATGTACCTCTAAAAACTAATGCAGAAGAACCAAAACAAAATATTATAATGTACTCTTCCAAAACAAAATTAATTAGAAAACCTGTAAAAGAACAAACTGTACAAGAATCAAAACGAATAAGAAGAACTTCAATTTACACAAAATTTAAAGCAGTTAAGTCGTGTACATTAAATAAGAGCCCTGAAAGTAATACAAAAAATAGATTGGTCTTCAACAGCAAGTACAAACTCAGGAGAGAAACTTCAAATAAATTAGTAAAAAGTTCCAGCCCAGTGAAATTAAGGACTAGATTTAAGTTAGATAATAGAAGTAAAACTCTTTTAAGCATTACACACAAAAATGCCAAATATGTGTTCATTAATAGATTTTTAAGTATAACTGATATTGCCAAGACTGTACCTCTAAGGACCAATAGAAGTTTATTGAATATTTCTGGAATTATGTACAAAAACACACCAAATAGGCTACAGAAAGTGATTAAAATAGAAAAAAGAAAGTTACTTTTATCTAATCATAAGAACCCTTCGAGTAAAACCAGATTCAAGATTGTTAGAGTGTCTGAAGCCAAATCTTCTAGAATATATAAAAAAAATTCAAGGTGAGAAACAAAATTTTATGTAATTTACTATAACCATTAATTATGTAAGTTCAAGTTAATAGGTATATTTTGTATAAAACTTGTAGAAGAAATAGTTGAAAATGTTAGATTTAAAAAGAGCAATAGAAATTAAAATATTTTCTTTAAAATGGTTCGAGTTAATAGGTACATTAAAGCAGTCCTTTAATAGAGCAAGTAGTTAATCTCCATATAAAAGTCCACATTATCAAGAAATAATTTATGAAGTGCAGTACCAAAATCCTTAGTCTAATCTAGAAATTCACACTTACCTTCTGTATTTGAAGTTTTTATTTTGTGCTTAATCAGTGGATTCTCAAAAACAAAGGTCTTTGAGTCAATATTATTTTTATCATTTAGTAAAATCGTTGCCTGAATGCAGTAGTATATTTTTTAGTAGACAATTTTTTGGATTCAGCTGAAAACAAATTGAGTATTTTAAATTAAAAAATGAACTAGTAAAGTACTGTTTGAGTCCCAATGTCTTTAATCAAGAAATTTTTCTTTTCATTGAATAAGTAGGTGTCAAATATTTAATACCTTCTGTTCTAATCTGGACTTTTGGGAGAGTTTTCAATATTATTAGCTGCCTGGTTGCACCTAAAATAATTTAAATTTGTAAGTAATAATTTAATGCAATGTTGTAACTATATATTTTTTATTTAAATATACATACGGTGTAAGGAACTTGATGGTTCTGGCAATAAATTAAGAATTTTTGAGGATCTGCTGCACGCCTTGATATCAAATTTAACATTTTGTTTTTAAAGCAGAAGAATTATATGTCCACTTTTTACTGAACCATGCCCATCCCAAACAATTTGGAACTCTGTAATGTCCAACTTATTCCCCAAACATACACCAGCCACTTGTCATAGTTTATGCACACTACTATGCTATGACATGATATTTTAATAAAATCTAGTATAGGGGGAAACTTGTCGTTTGGACTTATCATAAAACTGTACTCAAAAAGCACACTATTAACTATACATTTCTTTTAACTGATGTTTCAAAAATTTGAACATACATTAGTTCAGGCATTGAAATTTACTTAAAAATATATGAGATTTTTATATTTCATGGTCAGTGTTTTGTTTCAGGTTCTCTACAAAAAAAGTAAAAGTGTCTCAAGAAAAATTGAAGAAATGCAATATTCCATGTCCTTACTACAGAAAATTTGGAAAATGCAAGGGAAAAGATTTAGGAAAATGTCCCCGAAAACATGATCCTGATCAAATTGCTCTCTGTACAAAGTATGATATAAACAAAAAAAAAGATTTCATTGTGTTACTATTTTGTTTTTATAGATTCCTTCAAGGTGCCTGTATTGATACAAAATGTTCTTTGTCACATAATGTATCTGCTGAAAAAATGCCTACCTGTAAGTTTTATTTGGAAGGAGCTTGTTCTAAAGATAGCTGTCCATACCTGCATGTTAGAATAAGTCCTAAAGCTGATATTTGCAAGGACTTCTTAGAAGGATTCTGCAAGAAAGCATCTGAGGTAATATTTTTGTATTTTTTTTTTTTTGTAACTAGCTCTCATCCGTCGGAATAAAAATGTTTATTCAGAAGTGATGCTATAATAGAAAATTCACATTAAGAGTATAGTATAATAAAAAAATGGTCTTTTGAGTTAAAGAACAATTTAATAACATTTTATTTCTAGTGTGACAAGCGTCACCAGTTTTTGTGTCCAGATTTTGAGAAAAAAGGTGCCTGTCTAAAAACAAGATGTCCCTATCCTCATGGAAGGATGGTAAGAAAATATTCAGATTACAATAAACACAAATTTGCCAAGAAATCTTCCAAAAGTATCAAAGATAATATCACTAATAAAATAGATAATAATTTGGTTGGTTGTAATAAAATTGAAGAAAAAATTGAACCTGAAGTAAATCCTGCAATTCGTTATTATAGTGATAAAAAGATAGATGCACAAAATTCTATTAAAAGCGAATCTAATGATGAAGTAGATTCCAATCAGAAAATAAATCTTCGAATTCGACCAAAATTAGGAGACCTACCCTCTTTTATTTTATTGGAAGATCAATGAAAATTTCTTGGCAATGGTTTTAATAAGATATTTTTAATTAAAAAAGTTGTATGTTTTGACAAATAAATAAATACTTTTCAATAACGTGTTTCATTTCTGACAATATGAAATACAAATCGAATCATTGTTCTAAATATTTTCATGTTTATCAATAATTTGTGAATAGTACTAAACTGAAAATCTTCACAAGTCTATTTTAATACCTATAACACTATCTATAAAAAAACCTAGTGAGTTTTTAGTATTTAATATTTGTCTGGTTATTTTAGGGAAGTAATAATATAATGTTACTGTGGAGGGTGCATTGCCCCACGGCACTTAGGCGTCACTAGGCTTATTTTACTGGGAGTTGTAATTTATTGTAGGTTTTGTGATTCACTCGCCTAACTGTTGTTTTGTGAATTTAGTGTTGCATGCTGATATAGATGGATAAGTATTTTTTTTAATTTCTTATAATGACTCGACGTTTGAGGTAAGAGTATTTTCTTTATAATCGAAATCAAAAGTATGGCATGAGGTAAATGATAATGAATCAAATTACTTGTTTATAAAACATAAAAACGTTAAGGTAAATGTACTAGTAGTTAACACTATAATGGGGAAACTATATATCTGATGCGTCTAACACATGACTTTTCTGTCTAGTTACTACCATTTTAGAGAAATCTTGTATAGAACAAAAATTATAGAGAATGATCTCGTAAACAACTTTTATTTGTCCAATTTTCTTAAAAATTCCCATTTTGCACTTTATATATTATTTATTTGTGATGAGTAGATAACGTTTGTATGGGAAATAGAAAAGGGCTGTTTTTATGGTTTTCCCGGCAGTTATTCTAATTTTTCTCACCTTTTACACCTTCCCTATACCTTCACGAACATTTCAAGAGTAAGATAAATCCGTTCTCAAGTTTTAGCGAGACTAATGAACAGCAATTCATTTTTATATATATATATAGAAGATATATCCTTTCTCCCTTTTTTGTGCAAGTACATATAATTAAATACCCTATTTTATTCACATCACACATTGTAAAACATTTATTTTAATTATTCTATCTAAATACTGATTTAAACTACTTCTTTGATTAAGTTTAATTTTTTGACTTATTACCACCTAATCCCACATTATTTTTAACACTCGTCCCCAACGAATGAGGTGCTTTCGTAACTCTATTTTAATTAGTTTTCTTCTACTGCAAATTATTTTCTTTCCTCCCTGTGTTGTTTCGGCGACTAATGGGATGTAGGTTGTACTTTCCTCTTTTTGGTGTACCTAGAGTTATTTTCCTTTTACACAATAATTTAAGGTTAAACGACTTACCTGTAAGGAAGTTCAATCGTAATTATACGACTGGTCCAGTCCTGATAGAGTACACATGTAGTTGCTTCATTTTATGCAAGCGTACACTATTTTTAAAGAAAACAAATCAATTTTCTGTCCCATCACATCACCCATACTTCATTACGCGTTTTAGTAATCGCGACCTTTCGGGTTGGGTAATGTACAAAAGTAAGCCCTTACTTTAAAGGGAGGGATGTTCTATCAGGACTGGACCAGTCGTATAATTACGATTGAACTTCCTTACAGGTAAGTCGTTTAATCTTAAATTATACTTCCTGGTCCTGTCCTGATAGAGTACACATGTAGTTGTTTAAAGCACGGGAGCGATATTCTACGATGCCCTTTTTTTTAAGTAAAGTCCTTAAAATAAATAAAGTCCTTATGATAATGATAAGTAACTTTAATTAATAAAATTTTATCAAAATTCTTATACAATTCCATTAAAAAAAAATACAAAAGAGTACAAAGTAACAAATTATATGTTTTCATTATTTAACTGTTTTAATTATAATCTAATGCCATATCAAAATACGAATAGGTGTAAATATATTCTATTAGGCTAATCTCTAAAATTAAACAAACTTTAGATTTTTAATTTGTAAATCAGGAGTTAATATTTCTCACTAGTTCATTGTTATTGATAAGCGGCCTGTTATAAACTTTATAAAATTTCTGGGAAATCTTTGATCAACGTACCGGCTGCAGCTCTAATCGTTTCTATGTTAACTCCCGCTCTAAATGCTGCTAAAGAAGCGGCATGCCTTAAATACTATAGGCTTAAGAAATATTCGCATCAGTGCCTTCTTTATTTAACTTTTTTTTTTATCCCCCTTGAAACAGTCTCATAGGATGCTGCATGGTAAGGCTTACGATGTGTAATTAGTAAATTCTCAGTATTACCCCTTATTAATTTAGTTTTCTCAATATAAAACAATAATACCGATGCGACACTTTTTTTTTGAGCAAGGTATTATTAACTTAGGCTGAGCATGACCTGGACCGGATGATTTCAATAGTTTCGGCATTAATATCCCAATTTTCTCCCCCAGGTATTCCCTATCTCTATTTTTGAAATAGTTTTTATCCTATGTGCTGTGGAAAGAGCAAGTAGTATAAATATAATAAGAGATTACGGGTCCCACGTATGACAATATCTAGGAAATGTAGGACGAAGTTTATAAACACCCTTCAAAAAACGATTTATCAAGTGATCCTCTGTATTCTTTGACTAAATATTCCACACGATCTAATAGTATTGAAAATAGAGTAACTTTAGCCTTTAACAAATTGTTCATTTAAAAATTCAATTATTGATTATTAAATCTAAAATAGTAATTTTACAGAGCATTTTCCATTTTCAATCCTCTACCTTCATACGATCTCCTGATAAGAGTTCTATAACCAGGGTAAGGCTCGACCACAGGACGAAACTATTTTTTTTTTTTTATTTTGGCCTACAGAGATATAGTCACCAACAAGTAATTTCGTAAATATAGGAAACCACGGCTGCAATTTCCAGTAGAGTACTATGACCATTTACATATTATGGCATAAACAATAAATTAAAAAATAATCTGAATAGAAACTTGCATATCATAGGCAATAGAAAAGGGCAACTAATACTAAAATTGTCTCGTGATGATTGATATCCACTCGTTCAGTAAACAAACATTTCTTTATTTTTTATTTCAAAAATCGCCGACGTATTCTAACACGTCGGGATTTTACGAGTTTGTCATTCGCGGCATCGAATTCTTCCGAGTACCTAACGTGTCGGCGGTTTCCGAATATGCGGCCGGCGATGATTCGTATTCTCTATAGGGCAAAATTCATGGTATAAAGACAAACGTGCCGGTCAGTCTGCATATAGATGTCAATTATTGTTACTTTTAATAAGTATTCGTTACTCGTTTAAAGTAATCGTACTTTGATGACTATAATTCTGTTTCCATAATACCTAAGTATACAACTTTGGACCAAATGAGTTTATTGGATTTCGAATTTGACGAATTAGCTGGTAAAAACAACGCGCGAAAATAAATTTTAATCGGCCCACGGCCAATCAGATATCCATATGCCACACCACAATAAATGATGCGCGAACTCGACGAGATTTCGTCGGCTACGTATCATACCGCTTTTTTTTTGTTTTTAGTTTTTAGCACTATTTAGGTCTGATTATGCCGAGGCAATGGATGGATGCTGCGGAAATGCCGGCCGCCCTGTGCGGGTTCAATGGGAGCGCTCCTACTTTAATAGAATGTTCATGCAGCTGTGTGATAGATATTTGTATACGCAGATTTTATTTCGGAGCGAATTCGTCTAAAAATATTCACTTCTATGTGCGTTCGATAACATACACTCTTTTATTTTAGGATTTGATTTCCAAGTTTTCTTTTTCGTTTTTAAGTGGTACCTGCTCCTACCCAGACAACACACCAAATCCCAGAGATATCCGCAGAATATCTTTTGTGGATATCCAATATATCCACAGGATATCAGAAATATTCCGTGGATCTAATATGGATATACAAATATCCGTCTATATCCAGGATATAGAAGATATCCTAATGGATATTCAGCAAAATATCTAATGGGTATCTTCCAGAAAATACAAGAAATCACAGAGATATCCATAGAATATATTTTGTGGATATTCAATATATCCAATATGGATATCCAACCAAATGTCCGTCTATATCCCAGGATATAGAAGATATTCGGATATTCAGCAAAATATTTTATGGGTATCTTTAGTAGAGGTTCAAAAGTAACCAATGATTTTTGAATAACGTCGAAAGAAAATAGAGATAAAAAATATTTTCAACACTCAAAATATTTTCAACACTCTACCTTTGATTTTGCCCACTAAGGACAAAGTCATCCTTATTAGGACTCTTCAGCAATAAATGAAAATTCTCGACTCGTCTCTAATGGAGTGAATAATAGGACACACATTTCGATCGAACTCAATTACGGCGGGTCGAGCATGAGTAGATGCGATAGTGGTATCGCCATCTATACTTAGTAAGCAGAATCAAATAACATCTAGTGGATATCCACGATGGTTTGCGTTCGCGCCTAGTCTTTGATATATTTAGTGGATGTTCATGGGATATTGAATACACCTTAAAAAAATTAATTTTAAATATCTGAACGGTACTATTAGCCATAATGGCGAGCACCATGGCGTAATTTTTTAATAATTTGCTATATAATTACTATTATTTATGGACATTTGCATATCTATAAATTACATTTCATGGATATAAAATAGATATCTACCATGGACTGGACATTCAGTGGATATTGGGATGTTCAGTAGATATCCAAAGGATTTGGTGTGCTGTCTGGGTATCGATGTTTTTTTGGAATTAAAAAAATTAAAAAATAAATTTGTAATGTTCATTAAAATAAAATAATTTATTTCAATAACAATAAAACAACTTAATAAAATAATAATAGAAATTCTGTGATTATGTAAAAGTGAATGGTTGTAGTCACTTTATATTATTAATTCAGGTAGGGAAATTTAAAAGCAGAACATATACCGTACTGTGTCTGTCTGTTTAATTCATGTTCCTATTATACTTTAGTTCATTGTAAGGTATATAATCGTTCTTTTAAATTTCTGTATCTGTATGTATTGACAGAATAACCCTCTATATGTGTAATGTCATTGGCGAGTCCATTCTGGAACACGGTATATATTAACATTTTACTAAAATTTGATTTTAACAAGCAGTTAAAATTAACTGTTTTTTAGTCAAGAACCATGCAGATATCATTTATTAAAATTATGTCATTTTTATCAGTCAAAAAATATTGCTTGTAAAAACCTAATTAGAAAAACCTACAAATAGTGAAATTATTGAAACCTTTTTTTAGATAAGTTGTAGGATAGAGAACAAATTCATTGTGCAGTTTAAACTCTGCCTGATTACTTATCATTAAAAATTAATCTAAGACACAACTAAATAAATTGCCGACTCCAAATTCGTTAGATCACAATACCACAGAATAGGTGAACAATACAGAAAAGAAAATAACGGTCGGCACTTTGAAGTAGAAGGAATAGAAACCTCTGTCCTTCAGCTCCACCACAGAGGTACGCTCAGCAAACTAATTTCACGTGAACATGAAACAACAGTGAAAATACATTTATTTCTATTGTACTTTGACCATGCTCTACCATGCATAAGGCTTGGCTACAGTGGCCAGGGTTTTGGCACCTTTTTTTTCTGTATTGTTCATCATCTATTCTGTGAATACATTCATTTTTTTATCACTTTGAGTCTTATCCTCTGAATTTTAAAATTAGTGACTAGATTCCATAAATTTCGAAAAATACATATCAATTTTTATCTTCATAAATTAAATACCAGTTCGATGGTAAGTTATAGCCTAATAAAATGGGGCCGTGAAGGAGTAAAGAATAACAATGTCTATTAATGTTAGAAGATAACTTGATCCAATCTGAGAGGTACCTAGTCATTTCTTCATTTTTCAAATTTGTGGGATTCAAACCTAAAAGAAAAAAAAATTAGTGATAGTATTTTTCAAAAAAAAATTTGGAGAGTAGTAATAGAAAAAATTATTTGTTAAATATTTTTTAATATTATTAAATACCCTAACGGTAACAATATATTATTTATTTTAAATATATAAATAGCTATTACTAGATTGAAAAGAGATGCATAGATCAACTAGAATTGAAAACATGACTGATAATATCGGTTAAATAACGTTTATAAGAAAAGTTTATAGGAAATGCCCTAAAAGTAGAACCAATCATAGAAAGTATAGAGAGAAAACAACTGAAATTATTTGAAAACAATACATATGGAAGAAGGCAGATAAAAGATTATGATTGACAATATAACTGCACAAATGAAGCAGGAAAACTAAGAAAAAGGTAGAATACTACACTAGCTGAATGTATGAAGAAACAAAAAGTATCCTGGAATAAAGCAAAAAATAATAGCAAAAAAAACAAGAAGGAATGGGAAGATTATTTTGTGTTGTTTTGTTAATTTGATCTTATTACAAATTTGAATAAAAATGCAACTTATAACAAAAATCAGAGGTGTGCCGCTTTGTTTGTCAGAAACATTATCTTGAATAACAGAAAAATTAGTATCAAAATTGAAATAAATAGGAAATCTATATTTGAAACAGCCATTTTGGTACCCAACAATAATTACCTCTAATATAACAGCATTTTTTCAAAGCATCAACTGGTAATTTCTCCACTCCACCTTCTCTTATTATTGCTTTGTCCATTTCTTTTAAAATATAGGCTCTCTCTGATAATCGAACTCTTCTGAAGAAAAACCCTACACTCATTTCATGAGATTTGCAAAGATGCACCTAAAGCATTATATTCAATATTTAGTAAATAATTAATAATTATTTATTGCTAAATAGCTTTATTTAAAGTATTTTTATCTTAAGATTTATTAATAATTAATGAGGAATTTTGTGATTTTGCCAATCAAGTCTATACTGCATGACAAGTGTGAAGTGGCCTGAGGTGCATACAAAAAGAAAAGAGAACAACCAAAGGGAAATATAAATCCTTGTTAAAGAAGTGATCTGTCCCCTATGTATCTACTTTTGCCAATGCATATTTCTCGCAGGTCACTTCTAGCTTATTATATTGTAAATGTTTCAAAAATTTTCTGAAAAATATTGATTAATGAAATAAGATGCTTTTGTTTACACTTTTACTCTTGCATTCTAAAAACTTAAAATAAATGCCTTGCTTGAAAATTATCAATCAATATTTTTATGAGTGATAGAACAATCCAAACATAGTTTGATTAACAAACTATAATGTTCAAAAATAATAATTAAAAGAGCAGCAACCCTAGGGCCCATATTTATAAACAGATCTCCGGTGAGTCTGACAAGGTAGTAACAAATCCATATCTAATTTTTAAATCAATTGTTTTCATAAAAGAACAATATAAATGAAAGCACTTTTTTTTCTAATATTTTAACGTTTGTTTCCATGTTTTCCTTATAGTAACGTTCCAAAATATTAAAAAAAAATTGGAATTTATGTAGATATTTTGTGATTTGAAAGAATATTTTTAATATATTATACCTTATCTTCTTTTTCTAAAAAAAAAAAGTTTTAGTTGCCTCCAATTTTTTGTGACTTAATTATTACTGATGTTTCTTCCAAGGACACAGAGTAGGATGATTCAATTTCATATGTTTATCTGAATTTGTAGTTTAAAAAAAATTAAAAAAAACTTTTTTGACAAATGTTATGTTAAAAATAGGGATACAAAGTTCAAAATTCTACTAAACTTTATCCTCTATGATTTTAATTGTTGGGACATTCTCAAAACTATATAGATGAATATGACAATAAAAAATACTGCTCAACCCACTCAAATAAAAACTAAAAACCATCCTATAGTAGGCGATTCCCTGGTAAGCACAGGTGATTTTCAAATCATTGGTGAAAAGTAACTGGTAATGATATATCAACCACCTCTAAATTCCAGTGCAACACTGGAACCACCTGAAACATCGATTTTCATTCAAGGATGACTCAGCTGAGATTGATTTATAATACGGGCCTAGAAGTGGGTCAATGAAGATATATTTAATTATAATTGTATAAGACTACAAAGAATATAGCTTCTTTCATATTATGTTAAGTATAATAGAGATAGCAACAAATCTTCAGAAATATCACTACACAAAACTAAAAAAAAAAGTATGAAAGGAAACACTTACCACATGGCTTCTACTTAAATACAAAAGATGGTAGGGCTCAGACATAAATAAGTCTTTACATTTAAGAATCTGACTTACAGAAGGTTGCTGACCACTTGCTAACATCCCAAGAATATCTTTCCAGGGGTTATATAAAGAGTGGCTCTTTAAAAAATCTAGCTGAATTTGTAAATGCCTGAAAATTGGCCTATTTTGGGCAAGTCTATATTTAAGGTTTAAAATCTGAAATTCAGATTTTTGTTGTATTGTCCAAAAATGTGAACACAATAGGTGACGAGGAAACATGTAAGCCAATGGTAAAATAACTGTCCCAAAAGGTATTGATGACAATATCAGAGTTGGAGCAACCTTTTGCATATCTTTTGGCATTTGAATGTACAGTTCCATTTCTGTCCTATGTAAATCATGAAAACTTTTTCCTGGTGTATTCAGTAATCTAATAATTCTAAAAAAATCTTTAGTGTCAGTGACAAATTTTCCAACACCTTCCATAAATAGTTTATATACTTTCATTGCACCAGGAAATCTTTTTTCTAGAATAACTTCCAATTTTTTTAAATACTGTACATATTTTTCAACTATGTAATAACGTATTTTTTTGGCTTCTTTAGTTTTGTAGAGAGGTGGTCTGTTCTTTGAATTATTATGACTTAATCTGACTAAATCATAGGAGCTAAAATATATCCCAAATAAGACGTATCAACAATACATTATATTACAATAATTTCATACCTTAACTGATTTGTATTTGGTAACTGCATGATAAATGTAGCGGTAAGAGACGGGCTCTTTAGCCCTGTTCTTACCACCCTAGCTATTCTTGTTATGTTCATGATAGTTAAAAAATTATTCAATATTTTACTAAAGTGTAGGAAATAATTACATTGCGTGACAAATATTAATAAATAAATAATAACTCTATAGTGATTTACCAAAACTATGGTATATTATCATTTTCAAAAATCTTAGGTTAATTACGTTTTGACGTTTAATAAACTTTCACAGAACACCATGGAGGAAGCAGAACAATTAGGCATTCCAACGACCTGTCAAACAATAGGTGCCAGTGGGAAATTCTTGTATATCTAAGGGGGTAGCGACATAGTCTTGCAACTTGGACACTATTTCTATTCGAAGTGGTAGTCGCTAAGCCTGCCAATTTATAAAGAAATGTTTAGGTGGGTTTTTTAAATATTATTTGTATTGTGTTTGACATAAAATATTTAAATGTAATCCATTATTCATGATTTTACGTAAAGTAGATAGAGTACACCGTATGTCGCCACCCTTAGATATACCAAACCTTTCCACTGGCAATTCATTTGTTTGGAATGCCTAATTATCCTTTCTCCATGGCAGAACACTTTCTTTTTTCTTGTTTTGTTCTTTTATCCAAGGATACTTCTGTTTGAATATCCACATCCGATAAAGTGCATACGATAGTTAGTTGTTGTTCTCACTTTCTTATTTTACATATCGATAAACAAGGATACAAATATTCTCAATGCGAACTGCCTGTGCTAGTAAAAAATGTCACAAGAATGGAGCTTATAGGTAAATTACACCAGTTACACCACCTTATTTACCCTAATTTACTTCCTCTCTATTCCTTATACACATGTCGAGTGTAATTTACTCCTGCTAAATAGCTGGTGGAGTTCGAAAATATCCACTAGTGGATACCACATCGCCGACACAAAGGTATAGTGGTTTTTACACCGGGCCAAACAAAAGGTTTAGTGTCCGTTGGTGTGTGGTTTTGGTATAGTTCATTCATATACCAACGCACACCATACCTTTTGTTTGGCCGGTGTAAAATCCACTACATCTTTCTGTCGCCGATGTGGTGTCCACTGGTGGATATTTTCTCCACCAGCTATTTAGCAGGAGTGAATTACATTCGACATGTGTATCAGGAATAAGGAAGAAGTAAAGTAGGTAAATAAGGTGGTGCAACTGGTGTAATTTACACTGGCGGACACTACACCAACAGCGAACGAAAGAACATCCTATCCTGACATGTCACCAAGAACGTAGATCACTGTCATTGTCAAAACTGGTGTTTCCGGTGAAGTTCCGCCATCTTTCTTTTTATTTCTGGCAAAGCATGGTAAGAGGTTTTCACAATATTTGTTGTTTTTTTCATTAAAAAACGAAATATGTATATTTTAAAACATTTGCCAAGGTTCCTCATTTTTGTATTGTTATAGATTATTTTAAAAACATAGCTCTTGTCTATTTTTTTTTTTCTTATTAATTTATAATGTGCTGATGTGTATAGTAACAGTTTCTCTTATTTTCAGCCTTTCAAAAGGTTTGTAGAAACCGGCCGTGTAGCCGTTGTATCCGACGGTCCTTACAAAGGCAAACTCGTTAGTATTGTGGATGTAATAGACCAAACAAGGGTAAGTAGTTATTTTAGGTTATGGACACACCATTTTCCTATAGATTATTTAATTTAATTACTTTGTAAAGTTAACATGATGATCCAACTTGATAGGAATTGCCGACTGATACATATCTGAAGCTTATTATACCACTGAACAATTTTCATTTATAACTGGAAATTTAATATTTTTTAAAATTTTAAGTTTAACTTTTTATTTTTTAACAGGTTTTAGTTGATGGACCCAATAGCAATGTACCTAGGGGACAACTAAGGTTAAATGAATTGCATTTAACTAAGTTTCGTATTAAGTTTCCATTTGCAGCATCTACCCGTGTTGTAAGGAAAGCATGGACAGATGCCAACATAGATGAAAAATGGGCACAATCAGTCTGGGCCCAAAAAGTTGTATCAAAGGAAAAGGTATGTGTTAATTGTAAACATAATACCATGTTCTCATAAAAAGGAAAAATTTTCATTAATATATAATTCATTGTTAGAGAGCTCATAAAAATGATGGTCATTGGCTGTTTAAGCTCTTTTCATGTATGAAGAAACTATGCATATGAACTTATAGGTATCACTATTCTAAACAAAAATCTTAGTACCATATCTTATGCAAATTATTAATGACACAATTTTTTTAAATGAAAATATTTCACAAATTGTCTTAAATCAAAGCTCAGAGAGGCTACTTTTATATCTTACACTGTTGTCAAGTCTCACAAAAAGTTTACCAATCAATTATTTAGTATAAAAAGTACCTACAGCAATTGGTTTCTAATAATTTTCCATGCCCTAACAATATTTATTAATAGATCACCCCTATTCGTTCCCTTTCCTGTATAATTAATGGAAAAAATGGCATATTTTATCTAAGTTGAAAAATTAGCTTGTTTCTACAACTTGACTGAGTTTCACAGTCATCAACTTTGATATTAATATATAATATTTTCAATATTTTTTAATAGTGCATGTATAAAATATCTGTAATTGTGAAAGTTTGTTCTAATATTGTAACCTTTAACATCTTCACTGGACTGTACTCAATTTTATATGTATAATTTTTTTTATGTAAACTGATGAAACTGTTTTTTTTGTAACATCAAAATTTTAGTGAATAAAGGTATTAATTGTTTTGATTTAGATTGGACACATTGATGTCATTTTAAAACATCTAAGGATATATTAGTTTTTATTTTGATTATTAAAGAAAAATAGGTTACAAGGCTCTTTGTGCTTTGCTAAGTTTCTGTGTTCAACAAATAATGTTCCCCTTCTACTCCTAGTAACATAATATACCATTAGAATATTTTTTGGACATATTACACTTATTAGTGGTCTCATTTTAACTGTAGATACATTCTTTTATACTTTTAGTTACAACAATCAATTAAGTTGTTATTTAACGTTTTCACTTAAATTATTTTATTTATGATGATCCACTTTCTTGATAGGAATTGCCGGCTGATACACATATGAAGCCAATTTTTAATCTGACCAGAATATTTTTTGTGCATTTAAAACAAAAAATTTTAAACTTTTTAATCAACATTTTTTTTTTTTTTTTTACTTTCAGCGGGCTGAACTTTCAGATCTCGATCGCTTTAAATTACGCAGAGCTCGTTCAAGGAGAAATCATATCCGTACTGCCACTTTCCTTACTCTCAGAAAAACTGCATCTAGAAATGGTGTCCTTTATGGTAAAAAGAAGATGGCTAAGGGAGGCGATAAGCCAAAAACAACCAAGAAGGCTAAGAAAGAAAAGCCACAGGCTCCCAAAAAAAAGTAATTTTAGGTTAAATGACAATATATAAGTTTGTTTAAAAATGTTTTTTTTTCTTACAACCAAAAAAAAAAGATGGCGCTCCTTAAAATTGGTGGTCAGATTTACAGTGAAGTATGGAAAATTTTAAAATTAGGTAAAACCTATTGGTTTAAAAAAAACGTGTGTATAATGATTAGGTGGAATTGGATAATTGTTGAATACACTATTAATTTTACTGAATAATTTAAAGTAATGTATTAAAAAAAAACTGCTTTCTTCAGACTCCAAATGTGTATCCTGCTTTTTGTCTCACAATTTTATAAAGAACATAAAAAATTGTGATTGGGAATTTGTAATTATAGAGTAACTTTTTAGGTATCTCTATATTTTCCCATTTGTTACAAGGATTTGAGAGCTTTGTCAGGAAATGAGCTTTATAACTTTTCAATGTTCATGTTTATTGTGCAGTTTCCCCTCTTTTAAAAACTTGATTTTACTATAAGGTTTATAATTTATATGTGTATTTATTATCTATCCAAAGATTAGAAAAAGGGCTGCTAACTGCAAGTATTCCTCGCCAGCGAAAATAATGCTGTCTTCTCTTATTTGTTGGGTCTTTTTCCTTTTGACACCTAATTCTTTAAAATTGCAAGATACAATTGTAGTTTATGGGGGCTTTAATGGTTAGACCTAAAATATGTTAGCTGCTTCTGGATTTTATAAAAAAAAAACGTGCAGTAAAATTCTTTATTAAATCACATACAAATCCTTGTTGACTAATAAAAAATAATTATAATAAATTATAATGTATAGCTAAATCCTAAAAATTACAAACATGATCTAGGCTTAGTGCAAAAATAATTCTTTGTGTTTCAAAATCCAAGGTTGTTTCAGAACCTGACTCAAACTTAACTTCATAATCGGATCGAGAACCAGTAACCTCTTAATCAAATCTGCTTCTTCAGATACATGTGGAAGTATACTATTTTTTTGTAATTTTCTTCAAAACTTGAAGTTTCAAATGGAGGTCTTCCAATTAATAATTCATAACAAAGGATTCCTATGCACCATAGGCCAACTTTTCATTATATTATCTTTGTTGGTTATAAGCAGGTAGGTTAGATCTATCCCATACCACCCAGAGTTATTCTACTAAAAAAACTATAAAACAGAGGCTATAAGTTTAGTATACTAAACATGTAGACCATAAATTATAGCCCAGCCAGATTCCAAAGTCTGCCTACAACAAACAATTAAATTGTTCAGTATTTCAATGTCTAATTCTAAAATGATTTTTTAAATAATAAAAAATTGTTTTTAGCTCTATACATTTAATAGAATAACAGTGTAGGATCTATTATTTATAGTCCCATGTTCAGGAAGTTTTGCAAAAACTAATGTGTTCAAATTTATTTAGGGTAGATGTTTCTATATAATTTAGTACTTTTTTTGGGATCAAAGTATATTTTTTTTTTGTTTTGGTAGAACCTAAAGTACACAGATCAAAAAAAAAAGGGTACTTATTTATTTTTAATGGTTATCGTTATTTCTTTTTGCAACATTTAACAAATATTTGTCATTCTTAAAGATCGTTACATCATCTTTGAAATCAAACATTAATTTAAAATCAAGTTTAGAGAAACTTTGTTCCTTTCATCTCTCCACTTTTCATTGATAATGGAAAAAACTCAATGAACTCTGAAGTGACAAAATATATGAAATGTGTTTACATTTGGAAAATCTTCTCCTTTACTTAATATGTACTGCCACTTTTGGAGCTGTTGTGTAACCACTCGAATGTTTCGCTTATCGCTAGGTTGGGACCACCCTGTCATGATTCAGGAGTGCTACTCATATTTCGTAGAACGATACGTCGGACTGGGTCGCATAAGAATATTTTGCGATAAGAGCACGGCATTCTGGCATAGACATTCATTTGATACGTTTCATTTTATGTATTATTATTCGTAACACCGATTAAATTCGATTCTATATTAAATTCCGATTTATTTAATTTAAAATTAATTAACATAGTTTACAGTTGATAGGCCAGAAAAATATCATTCTGCATTACATTAGTACCTATATGAAAATACTAAACATTAATATGTTTTATACTTATTGTCAGAATTTGGGGCATATTTAAGTACTATCATGTACATTCTTAATGAATCATGGAAGGAACCAATCAATCTTAGAATGTTTAAAATTACTTTGTATTTCTATTTCTCTTTGTTCTTGATGATTAGTCTCAATATTTGTCTTAAACAACTTTTAAGAGCTATTTTAAATTTGACTGCTTTTCACGAGTCGAGTAAACGTTGCCAAATATACCACTTCCCAACGGTCTTCCTATTTCAAAATCAATTAATGACCATTGGTGTTTTTCCTCTTTGGCATTAATTAATTGGTCAGAATCTGTTTTATTTGACTTTATCCCTTCGTTTATAGTCATATTCTTTATTTTTATTATTTCATTCAGGGCAAGGCAGAACTTGAAGTAACAAAATTTCACACATCTTTTGGAAACTTAATGCGCGTTTTTATTATATATTGCTTTTAAAACGGTCCGAAATGGTTTCTGATGAAAATTTATAACATTTAAAAATCCCCCAAATTTAGGACTAAAAAATTGTTGTTTTTTTCGTAGATTATCATTTGTTATTTCTAGATTTGAATCAATTTTCGTGACTAAAATATTTCCGTATATCTCTAAAATATGCCGTTTTACAAATAAAACCCCAAAAACTAGAAAATATGTATTTAATGTAAATAAAAATGACTGTCCAGGAATATTATTATTTTTTAAATCAAAGTTAATTGTTAATAACAGCAAAAATGTCCGAAACAGATTCAAATTCATTGTTAAGTTGCAAGTAATTTGTTAATTATAAATTGAAATTTTAGTTTTTCTTTTAAGATATTTTTTTATTTCTAAAATAGGCGTAGAGAAAGTGTAGTGTGTAATTCTAACGGAATGTACATTTTATATTCCTATGATTTGCAGTATTCGTGCTAAGCGAATATACCATTCGGTACCTGTTAAACAATTACCATTTTTATTTGTTTAAATAATGGGAACTAAGAAATGAAAATGGTTGTGTACATATTTATTTAAATAAACTAATATCAGTAGCATCTATTCAAACATTAATTTGGATAATAACGCATTCCTCAGTTTCTCAGCTTTTATTAATTTTGATTTAAAATTATTACATATTAGCAAAACCGAACCTGTTTGAACTGATTAGAAGTACTCATGACTTTTGGATATATGCTCTATCATTCCATTATAACGTTCAGTGGGTTAGATTTAAGTCGAGTAGTGACTTAAAAACGCTCGTTATTCCCCAGGGGACCTATTTTCAAACTATGGGAGTACTCATTATTCTCTTAAGATTTTCATGAGAAATTCAACCTCGAAACAATATTTTTAAAGCCAGTAAGTACTCGATGACTATTTCTCTCAGTTTATTTCGAGAGAATTAAAATTCTACTAATTTTAATCCTCACTGATTTTAAAACATTTCCACATCTTGAGAGAATTAATTCTTTTCTCTCGAGTTTGAAAATAGCCGCCCTGAAGAAATCGCAAAAAAATTCAATAATTTGGCAACCCTGACTCACTCACAGAACACATCCTTTCTCACTACTCTCACTAGACACTTCTGCACAAAATACGAGACTTCGTGGTCATGAGCGATCGGTTACAAAAAAAGTTGGCTGTATGCTTAGTGAAAAAAGACCATATAATCATTTATAAAAATAGAAGAAAATTTTCTTACCTTAACCTTACTTTTAAATTCTAATTTAAAAACGGAAACCAAATTGGAATTATATTTGATTATGATTATATGTATAATAAGGTATAATTAAACACTAAAATGTCAGTGATTCTAATTTGTCGAAAGTTTTTAGAGGTAAATCTAAAACCTAAATTATCCACTGTTATTAATGGACTTAAATTTCATACTAATAGTTATTCAAAAATACAAATTCTCAAAAACAGAAACCCTCGTTTTCTAAGTAAAAGGTGTTTTACCAAATGGTTTAAAAAAACAAAACAAGCTGAGCTTAAAATTATAGATAATATCCCGGATTCATATGAATTAATTTATAGGAGTACACTAGAAAGATATATATTCTATACTCAATTGGGTACTTCAATTACAACAGTAATTATTGTTTTAACTGTAATTCTTTTATATGGTTCTCCTAAAAGTGAATTAACATTTTATGGCAATACAGAACATAAACCATCTAGTGATGTTGAAGATATACATTTGTATGTGGCTTTCTTCTTTACGGGAGTAGTTTTGTTGCAGTTGCTCATATCTAGATTGCCATTGAGGATATATTACCTATCACAACAAAAGAAATATATATTTATTTTCCCTTCAAATCTTCCTTTTCAAAGTAAAAGGTTACTTTGCAAGATAGGTGAAGTTGAAAAATTACCTCTAACAGGTATTTTGCCTTGGAAAGATGCAAGATTTAAAATTAAAAATGAACATATGGCTATAATGGTAGAGGAAAATTTTAAAACTCCGGCCGATTTATATATTATGTTGGGCGTTCAACGTGACCCAAATAGTGATGAATAAGAATTTGTTTTATCATTAATTACTTATTTAGTTGTTAATAGTTTTAAATATTGTACATAAATGAATAAATGAAAATTTTAAAATTATTGAATTTCTTTTTAAATCCCCATCCAATTATTAGATAGCATATCTAGACCAACATTAAATATATCTCTATGTACCTACCCTGTAAAGTAATGGCCTGTCTGAAAAAAAGGATGTGTATTTCATTATCCTAATTGGGAACGTGCCCCTATATGATTTACTAGCCTCTTATTCAGCCGCCCTGGAGGGATCAGGTCTAAGGTGAAATTCAGTTAAAAACAGGACTGTCACTGAAATCCTACATATCTGTTATGACATTTTTTTGTCTCGTAGTATTTGTGAGTCTTAATTGCTGAATTATAGGGACCTGAAGGAACTTCAAAAAAACAAAATTCAAATAAATGTACAAAATCATCTATGACCAATCAT